CAGATTGTTCTGTTGAGGAACAGGGGCCCAAATAATGTCACTCATCTGCTTCTTTCCAATGGTATTGGGCTTTACTATCTCAATCATGTCATAAAATCGATCCCTCTGCACAACACATACTTGCATTTGTAAATAATTTGGTAAACAAAGAGCATGCTACACAAGAACAGTAACAATAGTCTTACACATCCGGTCACCACAGTCATCATATCATCATCAGCTGCACCTTTCTTCTTACTCTTCTTAGCAGGGAAACTTGGCTTCATTGAGTCCAGCACATAGAAATTCATTGTCTTAGGCTCAAGCACAAGACAAAACCAGTGAGCACCAACAAGTGTAGGTCCAAATATCAAGTCACAGTCTCCTATGTTGTAACCGACATATTCAGGCAGCAACTGCTTTTCTCGTTTTCTAGCATCCCACCGAGATGGGTTCGCAGCTAGTATTGCCTGCAGCATCAAATGATTAGTCATGTAGCAGTAATTATTTTGTATTAATCTTAGTAACCTTACCATAAAGTCAGCATCAAATATGTGTCGCTTGACTTCTCCTTCGCTCTTCATATCAGCCAGTAAAGTCTTGCACACAACTGACATAAGCTGTTTGCAAGTAAATTTTAGTTTTCTGCACAGGTATACATGAGCATCAAATATAAATTTATAGTACTCAGCCGAAGATCACAATACTAACTTACCCGGTTACCTATTCTCTCAATTCCTCCAAGTGTCCTTAGCTGATCTCGAGTGATATCCTCATCAGATATTTGAACTAAAGTCCTAAAAATGTGTTCCCAGTATCATTATGTGTGTAGTTAATTAGTAAACAACCGATAAGTAATATCATTCACAGTCATGCGAATAGTAACTTACACGTCACCATCCTGCCTTGAACACATGCGGGATATCATGTTAAAAAACTTTTCCTTTTCCTCCATATTCCTCTTCTTCCTCTTCACAGGCATCGTCAAAATCCATGGAGAATTTATGGCCGACTTCACCTCCCTCTGTGATCTCCTGGGCTGTGCATTCTTGTCCATGGGGGAAACATCAGGGGAATCCATATCTCCTGCTTGTATTCCTTCTTCCTCAACATCAACCATGTCAGCCTCGTCCGAGTCATCTCCATGATGAGGTATGTGTCCTGAGTCCTGTCCATCATCATCATCTCCCTCATTTTCATCATCACCATCATCAGCTTCATCTTCTCCCTTATATTCAGCTCCAACTTCACTAGGGCCCTCATCTCCCACAGTACGATTTTCCTCCATCGTTATGTGCACCTTATGTAGCTCATCCTCTACTGCACTAACAAGTCTCTTGTAGCTTAAATCAATTACAGCCATCAACTTTCGATGTAAGCTTTGCAACTCCTGCATCACATCATTAAAAAAAGGTCAAACACTTTATCTTTTTAATGCACATTGAAATTACGAAGCAAATAAACACACCGGGTGTAAGTCAGCGACACTTCTCCTTCTTCTCTCCTCATCTCCAACCCTAACTTTCGAGCCCTTCTGCTTATACAATAGGCCTCTGTTGCTCGCCTTTCCTTCTTTGTCATCTCCTTTATCCTCTCATCAGTCCAGAATTGAATAGCACTTATTGACCCATCTCTAACAGATTTAGATAATGGGAAGCGCTCAGCAAGATATAACTGCAACATCAAATTATTAATTTTATCATCACTCCATTCAAACATAGAACAAAAAACAATGGTAGTAAATACATACCAATAAGAGGTAGATGCATCCTCCGACGTTGCAACTCCCTTCATCATTGTCTTCCCCTACGTTTCTATACACTTCAACATAATCTTCCATCTCTTTCCACAAGTTGTTCACAATGTATGTGGCCCAATCAAATTGGTGAAATTCATGCATAGTACAACACATCACCCTCACTAGCTTGTCACTGACTGTTGTTTGTGAGGTAGGAGCTAGAAAACTCCCAAGTGTGTACAGCATGAACAAGAACTCGAAATTCTCCTCATTCTCCCCAGATTTAATGTCTTTGAGTATCTTGGTAAAAGAGACTTTACCATATTCATTCTTCAACCTCTTGTATGTTTCATCATCATCATCCACATCCGTTCTTACCTTTTCCCCTGTGTGGGGTACCTCCAACAACTCCGCAACATCTTGTGCATCAATTTCCTTGATCTTCCCCCTTATTGTAAATTGATGAGTAGGCGGATCATATGCTCGAAGAATGCGTACTATGAGGTCACGAGGGAGTCTCTCACATCCCATGTCAAGCAAACTTGCAAATCCCAAACTTTGTACCTTGGCTTTCAATCTGTCATTGCTATTTATAAATTCCACCAATGACTTGTACTGCCGGACTGAGCAACGAGTGCTAAAAGCAACTTTTTTCATCCGCTTCTTCTTCGTCCCTTGCTTCTTTGGTTTGTTCACTTTATCATTATACTTCTTCCTCTCCTCTGGTGGCAGCTCCCTCCATGCCTTTGCTCCCTCCCTAACTTCTTCTCTCCTATTCCTAAACTCTTTGCCCGCCTTAAATTCATGCAGAAACAGCATGTACCCACTCTTCACTTGTCCACTTCCCTCTCCTTGTCCTTCTACTTGTACTTGTAACTCCATTTTCCCTGCTGCAATGACACCACTTGTTAGTCATTCATAGTACTATATTTCTTTCACAACAATGTCGTCAATTCCATCAACAAATGTGGTCAATTACACTAACAAATATAGTAAATTTTATTAACATATCATCAAAATACCATTGTCCACTCAATTAACAAGTGTAGTCAAGTCCACTAACAAATGTAGTAAATATCATTAACATATCACCTACAAAACCATTGCACAGTCAAATGACTTTGCATCACGACGATGTTGTTATTCCTGTAACAAATCTGGTCACTTTCATTGACTAATGTAGTAAATTCCACTAATAAATGTTGTAAATATCATTAACATATCACCTACAAAACTATTGCAGAGTCAAATGAATTTGCATCACGGCGATGTTGTCATTCCCATAACAAATCAGGTCACTTTCATTGAATGATGTAGTAAATTCCACTAATAAATGTAGTAAATCTCATTAACGTGACCTACAAAACCATTGCACAGTCAAACGAATTTGCATCTGCTCACTTTCATTGACTGATGTAGTAAATTCCACTAATAAATGTAGTAAATCTCATTAACGTGACCTACAAAACCATTGCACAGTCAAACGAATTTGCATCTGCTCACTTTCATTGACTGATGTAGTAAATTCCACTAATAAATGTAGTAAATCTCATTAACGTGACCTACAAAACCATTGCACACTCAAACGAATTTGCATCTGCTCACTTTCATTAACTGATGTAGTAAATTCCACTAATAAATGTAGTAAATCTCATTAACCTGACCTACAAAACCATTGCATAGTCAAATGAATTCGCATCACGACGTTGTTATTCCCCTAGCAAAACTGGTCACTTTCATTGACTAATGTAGTAAATTCCACTAATAAATGTAGTAAATCTCATTAACATGACCTACAAAACCATTGCACAGTTCAATGAATTTGCATCACCACAATGTTGTTATTCCCGTAACAAATCTGGTTACTTTCATTGACTGATGTAGTAAATTTCAGTAATATATCACCTCAATATCATTGTCCACTCAATTGAATTTGCATCACAAGCATGTTGTCATTCCCTTACCAAATCTATTATTTTCCATTGCCGAATGTAGTCAATTACTCTAATTAATGTTGTAAATTTCATTAACATATCACTTAACAAATGTAATCATTGCCAACACAAATTTAGTCCTTCTCAGACCAACAGTTGTTATTTCAAAACCAAACCCGCTAGTACTATTTACTACTTACCTCATCAAATTTACTACTCGGCTAATAGAATTACTGCTTGCTAAATTACTACAACAGGATAACCTTTGCAAATTTTACCCACGCAAGGACAAACTTTTCACCCTAAACCATTCAATGAAAATGAAAGTAACTTTGTCATTGCCGCGCATGCAGACCAAATTAGTGGAATTCTACTTCCTTAAAATCCCACCCTCTCCACATAGAAAGCTATACTCTTTTTAGAAAAGTCAAATAACACCGACAAAACTATCCTTTCCATTTTGTTCTTTTCCTTCAAATCAAAATAAACCAATCCCCACAACAAAAGCAATCCCCTGTTCCAATTAAAGGCCACCCAAAATGGATTAAACACTATCAATCACAATCATTTCCAAATATGTACACAACCAAACACATCAGCAATAACATGGAAACAACTTTTTTCGTCCTAGAGCAACTTCTATGGGAACAACAAAGACGGAACCACAAAGAGCATCACTGCATAATTACATTTTAAGCTTCGGGGACCCATCGAATGAACAACAATATTCAAGTTCCCTACCTGTTTAATTTCGAAAGCGACGGCGGCAATGTGATTTCGGCGACCGCTTTTTCGTTACTAGAGGACCTTCGATTTGGTTTCGCCGAGTGGGGGCACTTTCTGTTTCGGTGGGTTGCTCTCGTCGGGTCGGCGGGTTGCTTTCGTCGACTGGGCGAGGTAGTTCTAGTTCCTGTTTCACTTAGTGGGGGTTGCTTTCGCTGAGTGGAAGCAGTTCCTCTTTCGTCGAGTGGGGTGTTGTTTTCGCCGAGGAGTCGGTTTCCGCCTTTTCTCCATCTCCTCAAGTTTCAAACATCTTAAGGGCATTTCGGTCTTTTCACCGAAAATATTAATTCCAGATTGGTTCCCAGTGACCTCCTTGTCATTTTGCTTATTCAGGTCCCTTATTTGTCCTTTTGGAATTGAAGTGGTATTTTATTGTCATTTTCCCTTAAATAAAAGCCATCGTTGAAAACCCACCTGATTTCACAAATCTTTATTTGTGTGTCTGTGTGTGTGTGAGAGAGAAATCGTTATGTATGTACATCGACATATATATATGTATATATATACAGACACACATTCACATACACATACTCCAATAATCCAATTCATACCACTTGTTCTTCTTTGAGCTTTCATCTCTTCTCTCCGTCTGTTGGCTGCTCACTGATCAGTCCATGGCTTCCTCTTCTTCCTTATTAACTCCACAAGGTATATATAGATGCATCCTTATCTCCGCTATATATATACTACCTCCGGTCTTTAATATAATATCCTGTTTGACTTTTATTTTGATCCTAAATATAAGACCCCAATCCACTTTGTTTTTCATACTTATATATTTTTTTTCCAAAGTAACCCTTCTAACAATGATAGTTATAGTCAATATACTCCTCCGGTCCTAATTATAAGACCCAATTGACTTATTTGAGGAGATTAAGGAAGTAAGTTAAGTTGGTTATTTATAATAAATAAGTGTTGTTATTCCTAAAATATCCTTGCTAATTAAGTATATTGGCTAAAACTATCATTATTAAAAGGATTATCTTGGAAAAAAATGCATAAATATAAGATAGAAAATGGATTGGGTCTTATAATTAGGACCAAATAAAAAGTCAAATTGGGTCTTATAATAAGGACCGGAGGAGTACTTGATTAGTAAGGATATTTTAGGAAAGACAATACCTATTTAGGACAAATAACTAACTCAACTCACTTCCTTAATCTCCTCAAATTAGTCAACTAGCTCTTATAATTAGGATCGGAGGTAGTATAAGCTATTGGGCGACTCTTATATATATGTGTGTGGTTTAAGTGTTTATAAACTGGTTATGTGGTTATATTATGATTACTGAAGCAGAAGGAGTTGGCGGTGAGGAACAAAGCGTGCTGCAGAAGCACGTTTCGTTCTTTGATAGGAACAAAGATGGTGTCATTTACCCCTCCGAGACTTTCCAAGGTTCGTTCTTTCTTTCTTTCTTTCTTTTATTATATTTCCCATAGGTATGTCCTTCTTAATTCTCTCCTTTAATTAATACTCCTCCGGTCCTAATTATAAGACCCAATTGACTTATTTGAGGAGATTAAGGAAGTAAGTTAAGTTTGTTATTTATAATAAATAAGTGTTGTTATTCCTAAAATATCCTTGCTAATTAAGTATATTGGCTAAAACTATCATTATTAGAAGGATTATCTTGGAAAAAAATGCATAAATATAAGAGAGAAAATGGATTGGGTCTTATAATTAGGACCAAATAAAAAGTCAAATTGGGTCTTATAATAAGGACCGGAGGAGTATCTTGTAATTAATTAATTCCTTAATTATTCTCAATGAACGGCAAATATTTGTGTTTGTTCATTTAATTCACAGGGTTTCGAGCAATTGGATCTGGCGTCTTCGTCTCCATTGCAAGTGCGGCTTTCATTCACTTCAGCCTCAGTTTCAAAACTCGTCCTGTACTTCTCCTAATTAATTACCCTTTCCATCTTAATTAATTACTCTTCCTCTTTTTAAACATCGTTTTTACTATTTCTCTCAAATTACAATGTCGTCTTCATTCACTTAATTCTACATTTGTCACGATAAATATATATATATATATATATATATATATAGAGAGAGAGAACAAAAACATCATTCTTACATCTGAGAGATCATTTTATAATTTTAACTAATTAAGGAGTATGGTCGGTAAATTTAAATTACATGAATTCTATCACCCAAAGATTTACTTATGTTCTCTGTTAGTTTTTAATTAATAAGGAGTATGTATGATTGTGCTAACCTTAAAAATAAATTATATGGTCTCTTAATTCTATCATCTAAAGATACACAGGATTCTTTTCATATGTAGATCTGGATTTAATATATGAAATTGAAAAAAGTTGCGGAAAGCAAGGTGCTTCTACGAAATTATTAGAGCTTACTTCATCAAGATACTTCTAGCTTCCTGCCTTGTGATCTAAGGATGTTGTTCTTATTAATAAACGAATGGCAATCAAATAATAACACATTAAAGAAATAAAATATTAATTGATGCACAGTCAATAATTGGTCATGCATGTACGTGTAGTCAATTAATTAAATATTTATCATGCAAAATAATTAATTATCTAAAAATTATGATGCTGACGATGTAGGGGAAATTTCCTTCTCCACTGCTTCCCATTGAAGTTAAGAACATCAAACTTGGCAAACATGGCAGCGACTCGGGAGTCTATGATCAGGAAGGAAGGTACTACCTCCGGTCTTTAATATAAGATCTCGTTTAACTTTTATTTTAGTCATAAATATAAGACCACAATCTACTTTGTCTATCATTTTTATGCATTTTTTTCCAAGGTTGTTCTCTTGATAATGATAGTTTTAGCCTATACATTTGATTAGTAAGGATATTTTAGGAAAGACAACACTTATTTATTACAAATAACTAGCTTAACTTATTTTCTTAATCTCCTAAAATTAGTCAATTAGCTCTTATAATTAGAACTGGAGGTAGTATTTGATTTCTTCTTTCTTTTATTCCTCCAAATGTGTGTGTGTGTTCCCATATAAAATATTGCAATTGAAAATTTGTCGTTATTATTATTAGTGTGCTATTAATACAACTGATTGAATGTCATATATGGTGGAGAATCAAATTTAAAAAATAAATTGCACTACTCATAATATATTATGAATTTAGCTTGTTATGACTTTTATATTCTACATGAATTTTACTTACTCGCTATTTAGTGTTTTATTTGAATATTTATGTGTCATTTATCTTACATTTTAATTGGGTCATATATATATGTGACATATATTTATGTATCCATTGTAGGTTCGTGGCTTCAAAATTTGAAGAAATATTCAGCAAGCATGCACACACGTATCCAGATGCTTTGACAGCTAATGAATTGAAAGAAATGCTCAAAGAAAACAGAGCTCCAAGGGATTATCAAGGATGGTATGTATATTTATTCCTTTTCCTTTCTTTTCTTTTTGAATTTTAGGGATGATCAAATTAAATAAGTTGAAATATTAATTAAGAAATTGGTGGAATATATATAGGGTTGCAAGTGAGGCAGAATGGAAGATATTATATAAGTTTGGGAAAGACAGGGATGGTTTGCTGGAGAAAGACACAGTTCGAGCTGTTTATGATGGAACCCTCTTTCACCTCTTGGAGAAGCAACACAGTGCTCACAAAAAGAAGTGAAAATTAATTAAATATGCACTGAATTATTACATGGTTAATTATTAAATGAAAACACTTATCCATATTTAATTTCATCTCTCAAATTCATTGTTTGTATATCATTGTTATTGAATCTGTATATTTGAACTTGGATTTTATCGCTATAGTGTTTGTTTGGAAATTAATATATACGCATTTAGTTGCACACAGATATAATTTTTAAATTATGAAAAAAATGTGCGTCTTTCATCTGTTTTAGTGTATATTTTTAATTTTTTAACATTCCGGTCTCCGATCCCAGTGGTTGTGGTGCACAACTGCACATAGCATCTTGAACATTCTGATCTTACTTATGATGCGTGAAACGATGATATCTCTGTTTTTTAATATAAAAACTAGTTTGATTTTTAATTTGATTATAATATAAAATTTTAATGTATTTTGTTTTTCATATTTATTTATCTTTTTTATGATAATTTTTGTAGTAGTTACACATGTTAAATATTTTATCAAATGGCATTTGATTAGTAAGAGTATTTTAAAAAAAAAAACACCTATTTATTACAAATAACTAACTTAACTAATTTTTTTAATCTATTCAAATTAATCAACTAATTTTTATATTAAAGACCAAATGTAGTATAAAATTGCTTTAGGGAAATGAAAATGTTGTTTATTACACCTCCTATCTTAAATATAAGACTCATTTTATAATATAAAGTGCACTACTAAATAGATCTTATATTAAATACTCCTCCGATTTTTGATATAGAACATAATTCTTAAATTGATTTTGGTATTAAATATAAGACTTACTTCTTATATTTATCAGTTTTTTCTAAATTATCCCTATGGATACTCCCTCAACCATAATCAAGTAGAAGAAGGAGATGAGATATTAAGAAAGATGATTATAGTGTTTTAAGAAAAACATGTCATATTCTTTCGATCTTAAATATAAGACCCTTATACTAGTATGTATAAGTGTCTTATATTTAGAATCGAATGAGTATTTCGTATAATTAACTAACTTATCTAAACTTTTTTAATCTAATACCTACATTAAATATAGAAAGAGAATATAACTTTATGTGACATGAAAAGGAGTGATAATTAATAATGTGCTGGGTGTTTAATGATGATGACTGTTGAAAATTAGGAGGCCAAAGATCGGATTGGGCTTGGACTTAAATTCCCTGGCTCAAAATTGGGCCCAGTCATGTGCCCCAAAAGTAAGCCCAGGCATTTCCAAAAAGAGACCAGGCTTACAGACAGCTTCAAGAATTTGCGCACAAGTGACACGTCAATTCCTTTCCTGAAAAAACGGAAAGAAAGAAAGAAAGACTTTAATTGAGCTCTACAGTTAGATGGGATATTATGTTTTATTATTAATATAAATAACAAAGTCATCATTAAAAAGGTGAGGAACGTTGTTGAAATCACTATAGACTATAGTAAAACGAATTAATGATTTAGTTAAATTAGTTATGCGCATATAATCGATTGCATAAAAAAGGAAAAAATAAAAAATCTTTTTATTTCCTCAGGAATTTTCAAACCCGTGAAGAAGTTACCTGATAAATTACGTCAAAGACAGAAAACATGGAAGCAGCATGGGAGGGCTTCAATTATTTTATCTTGTATGTTTCGGATTCCTCTTGTTTTTATGTCTTTTTGCCATTATTATCACTGGAAATGAGTTCTTGCCGACCTAATAAATCATCGTAGAGACAGAAAGATTCGATCAACACGAATTAATGGGATAAATGGATTTGGAAGTTTTTGTATGTAAATTAAACCATGAAGTAGAGCCCCATATATATATATGCATGCAGTGATTTATGGAAACACTAGCTCTGATAATTAATATAAAAATTAGTTTGACTTTCAATTTGGTTCTAAATATAAGATCATAATCTACTTTGTCTCTTTTATTTATCTATTTGTTTCAAAGTAGTCTTTGTACTGCACATGCTAAATTTTTTTTTAAATAACACCTGATTAACAAAAGTATTTTAGAAAAGACAGTACATATTTATTACAAATAACTAATTTAATTAATTTTTTTAATCTACTTAAATTAATTAATTAATTTTTATATTAAAGATCATAGACAGTAACAAAATGTAGTATTGTATTATTCTTGCCTGGTCGCGTGCCACATACCAAAAAAATTAATTACAAGACCCAAAAGAAAGAAAGAAAGAAAGAAAGATTGATTATTAATTAATTTCCCAGATGGGAATTGAATAGTGATGTAAACCAACGAAGGTATGCAAAGGGGGATGGAAGACAGAAATCAAGTTAGCTTTCTTCATATTCAAGATGAGGTGACCTTCCTCCCCCTTCCTGTCTCCCCCAATTGAATTTGGATTCTTTGATGATGTGACCAGAAAACGACTTCCATTTTAATGCAAACTTTAAATTTCATTTAATTATTTTTTTCATTTTTGGTGAAAAGTAAATCTATATAAACCTTTTTATATTGATTGAACGGTTAAAATTTATTCTTCTTCTTCTGTTTTTGTTTTTTTTTTTTTGGGAAATGCAACACTTCTCACAATATGCATGTAGTTAACCCACCAATATGGTTGGGAGAGGCACTGAGAAACTAATTAACAAAAAAAAAGAAACGTTGCGTTATTGCATGTTAGCTGTCTTAATGAAAAGTGACATGTAGTCAATTAATTGTATAGAAAAGTTTAACATAAAAATTTATGCATTTATTTTGGAGAGCACTATATTCTTCTGGCCCTCTGGCATGGTGGAAAAAAAATCTATATGGCATCGTATTTTCATGGAATAGACATGAGAAGTATTTTCATATTAAAGTGGACCCAATATCGTCTTATATTGAATGGCAATTTACATCTTTTATGTTTGATTGAGTAAAATATTTTGATTCCACTTCTAAATTGCATCAATTATAAAGATCTCTCCTCTATTTTAAAAATATATAGTTTAGTCCAATTATTTAACACTGTTAGGAATATTCTAAAAAGATTCTTAAAATATTATTTTTAACTGAATTTATATTAAAATAAATTTTATTTACTATTTTATTTCTCATTCTAATAAATTTCTAAATTATATTTGTACAATTACATCCATTTCATTTAGTTAAGATAAGCATCAAAGATTAGAGTAAAAATTTAACTAATTTTTTAATAAATATATATATACTTAACTAAATATGTATAAATTTTTAGAACAAAGATTTGATTTAAAAGTTTAAAATTATAAATTTAAATAATTTATAAAATCTTTTAAATTTATAACATTTAAACTTTACGATAAACAAAAACTATGTATTTGAAATATGTTTTTACAATTTAAAAAAATCAAAATAAATAATTTCCAACAAATGTGATGGAATATTAAAAATATAAAATTTTATGATTTAGATCAAAATTAATAAAATTTATACCACATTAGAAATTTTAAAAATAATTTTTTTATTTTATAAAAACAGTTTTTGGAAAATATAAATGTCTAAATAATTATTAAGTTAAAAATGGGTATTTTGGCAAAAAGATAATTTAAAGTCAAACTTAAAGGTCAAGTAACGGTTTGGGTGGATAGAAATAAAATCTTAAATATATAAAGGAGGTTTATGTAACATATATTTTAACTGTAAGGGAGGTTTATATATATTTTCAAAATAAAAGAGAGGTTTCTGTAATTGATATAAAATAGAAAAGTGATCAGTGTATTTTACTCTTTATATTTAATTAAAAAAAGTGACAAAATCCCTCAATAGGTAAAATTAGACGTAATAAGAGTAAGCAAATAAAAACTATCGGACCAATTAGTTTGTTAATAATTAATATTCGAACTAATGTTGAATAGAGAAGAAGGTCCAAAATAGATGAATAATAGCGTATAAAAAGAAATTCATTAATAATAAATATGCTTTTGGGTCTGTGGCTTTATGGCTTTTGCAATCAGCTTCGTCCCCTTTGCCCAGATAAAGGAGTCATTCGTTTGAATTGACTCTTCAGTCGTTTTTGATAATTATTTCAGCTACGAAACTTCTCACCATTCATACGCAACGAAACATCCTAATCTATATATCTCCCCATTTTCCTCAAATCTGCCAAAACTGGCTAGCGCATTATGTACGTTTGTATTCTACATTTAATAAATATCACTCATCCTTAATATAAAAACTAATTAATAATTAAATTTAGTCCTAAATATAATATCTCAACCCACTTTATCTCCTAAATTTATAATTTATTTTCTAAAATATTCCTATTGATTACATATATCAAGAAGGTTTCTATCTAAGAGTAGTCATGATTGAAAGAATATTTTAGAAAAATTAACTCATATTTATTATTAATAGATAACTTAACTAATTTCATTAATCTATCCAAATTAGTTAAGTAGCTCTTATATTAAGGATTGGAGGTAGTAAATCACACTTTTATTTATAAATTTGAAGTATAAATAAATAATTTTTTATATTTTATACTGATCGTTGTTATCGTTGGGAATCAATTATATATTATATATATGGACTTATGAATTTCATTAAAATTAATTGGACTTTTATTTTCTGGGGAAAAAAAAGTTTAGTAACTCTTCTTAAAAGTGAAAGATAAATTATGACACTGATTTTCCTGAGTTTTCTATTGTTAAGTTATGCATTTTTATTTATCCAAAAAACTATATCTTAGGTGATTCTTCTTTTTCTCCCCCTTGGCTACTGTTAGTATAAGAGACAGAGACATATATCTTAAATTATTTTGGATCATTCACGAAGGTCATTGTGGGGCCTGGCAGACAAATGAAAGCGTTATATTTTCTGCTTAATTAGCCATGATGAAACTTACACATTGTCACCTAGTTTCTTTATTATTTACTCTTTTTTTTCTTCTGGAAACTTTGTGTATTCTTCCTTCTTTATTCCAGCTGTCATTCCCATGTTTTGAAAGAATAACAATTATGCCATATTCGTTCTAATATTTTAATCAAATTATTAAATTTTCAAATATATAATACTCTATGTATCATATGCAACCCTACAATCACTTGAATTGTTTGTGGTGGTCTTAATTCGTGAATTGTTTCGTGTGTTACATACTCAGAATTTGATGAATTGGGTTGTATTATTGATAGGTTGTAGTGTAATCTGTTAATTACAAATTTTATATTTTATACTGATATTCTTGTTAGTCTTAAATATAAGAAGAGAACTAATTACCTAATTTATGAAGATTAAGAAATTTGATTAAATTAATTATTTAATATTATTATTAGGTAAAAGTTATCTGTCACAATATTCTCTAAAATACCTATATTTTAATCAGTGTTAAATAATGTGAGAGGCTAGGAGTGTGAAATTAATGAAAGTAAGGGGATAAAATGTATCAAAACACTATATTCAGGACAAAACCACATTGATTAACTAGATTTTATATTTAAAATTAGTGGGAGTATTAATATTTATTGTTGTCATTATCTCAAAGTGATGTGAATTTCCATCATTCAGGCAAAGCAACCTTTTAGTGATGAAAATGTAATGCAGCTTTTAGCTTAGGTGGATATCCTTAAAATCCGAAAAGTTGCAAATTGCCACAATAATACAGTTCGTTGATCACTTCAAAGCAATTCATAAAGTGAATCACATCATAAAACCATATAACACTATGAAGTAATCAACACTATATATGATAACAAACGAAGCTCTGATGATAATATCCAAAATATGAATTTTGCAATTTTAATCTGGTCTAAAAATTTCCTTAAAAATCAATAGAAGCTCAAATATGTGGACCCTCAATGACTCACCCGATCCAAAGTGTCCCTATCCACTTGCCCTGAACTTGCAAGTAATTTTATGAATAATACATTTAGCTGGCTTAATTAGTGGGGTCCTCCTATACTGTCTGAAATATTAAGTTAATGAATAAATAAATTGTACTATTCATGCCTCAACAAAATATGATATGTTAGAGTTTCTTCATTATGTATTGTGATAAGGTGTTTAAATACTCTGAAAATATCGACAAAGGAGCACTCAACGCCTGAAAGTTCTTTTTGGCTCTTGCATGTCTTGAAAGTTTATTTTCGTAGCAAAAATATTCTTATCGTTATCCACCATTAAATTTAACCGTTAAATTATGCAATTTGACTGGTGTATTTAACGGTCAAATTTAACGGTAGATAATGGTTTAGAATAAAAATACCATAAAATAAAATTTTCAGGACATATACATAAAATAAAATTTTCAAGACATATAAGATCTTTGAAAAAATTTTCAGGGTGTTGAATGCTTTTTCGTGATACTTTTAAAGTAATTTAAGCAATCCTTTTTATATTTATATTTATATAGAAGTAAGTGATAGAGACCACCATAGAATTCAAGAGGGCCTATATATAACAGAGAGGGCGACCCATGGAAATAGACCAAATCTTTATTTTCCATATATTAATCATGCAATTACAAAATGGCGACGCCACCCAATCTCGTAGCTGGCTAGTCACGGAGAATAAAAAATAAAATTGATCAGCAATTTGAGCTGGGTCTAATTCGTGACATGACGAATTAAAATTTAATTCCTTGTTAAATGAGATGTTTATATTTAGTGCTCAATGGATAAATTTCATAGATAAGCTGTTATTTTTTTAAATTATTTTTTCAAAATGATGCGTGTTGGTGAAGCGAGGTGAACCACATATGGAAGAAACAAGGGTTGCTATCAAGATCTTATCTGAGAGATGTTGCAAAACGGAGCTATCGTTCCTTCCCCACAAAACTGAACTGAATAAAAGTCAAAAGCTTTTCCACTAATTCACAAATGTTATGCAACCATTTAAGCCTGGAAACTTCATCCCCACCCACTTTACTCATCACTTTTGTAGTCTCTTCACTTTCCTTCCTCCTCTTTCTTCGTCTTCATTATTGCTAGTACTTCTAACTCACCCTTTTTACATGGAATTCAAACTTCCCCCTTCACTTGGCAACATGTCTAATTTTGATTATTTAATTTATTCATGTCAGATCTATTTAGACTATCTAAATTTTATAAATTATTGTGAACCAACATAAATTGTTCGAATGTAATAAACTATTTAATATTGGATGCTTCTTTTTATCATAAATACAAAGAGTTGGATAATTAAATTGCAGATATTGAAAAAATTATTTAAATTATTTATTTGTGAAATAGGTGTATTAGTTTTTGTAAAATATTCATTAGAATCATTTTTATTGAAAAATATACTCTTAATAGACAATTCTCTAAATACGTACATACAAATCAATAGGGAGAGTTTAAGGATTTAGGAGATAAAACCGATTGGATTTTTATATTTAAGATCAGGATAAACCTGTCCATTATTAATTCTCATATTTATTTAAAACCAGAGAGAGTATTATTTATTAATCAGAACTGATCTGGAGTAGGATGGGATTTCAATCAAATGAAAAGGTCCCCACCATAATCTTGAAGAACATGCAAAGGATCAAAGTGAGATCAGAGAATCGTGTTCTAAGAATAGTACGTAGTAGGTATGCCCTATATATATAGGACCACCCTTTTGTTTGCCCTTCTGATGCCTTTGGAGTCAACAACAATCACCGACCCCCCACTCCCTTTCTCTTCTCCTTTTTGATGACTCACCCTCCACACACATTATTCATCCAAAAAAGGCATCACATTAATTAGCAACGTAAAATTAAAAAGAATTACACAGAGTTAGATATGATTGTTGAGTGAGTTTTAATTCTCACTTCGCACCAAGAAGTTTATTCCCCAGTTTTTATTCAAATTATATTCTATCTCTGGTCAGATCTTGTTTGACTTTTATTTTGATCCTAAATACAAAATTCCAATCTACTTTGTCTCTCATATTTATATATTTTTTCAAAATAATCCTTCTAACTAGGGTAGCTCTAACCAATACACTTGATTAACAAGGATATTTTAGGAAAGACAACATATATTTATTACAAATAACTAATTTAACTTCTTTCCTTAATCTCCTTAAATTAGTTAATTAGCTATTATAATTAGGAGTGGAGGTAATATTATACATAATAAAGTCAATCATATTTCAAATTATTATGCCTATATTGATTAATATCACACAATAGTTTAAACATTACAGGACTAATAGCATATACAAATATTATTTATTGTCTCAAAAAGGTTAATAGTGAAAAATATGTGTAAAGGCACATTAGGTTTGTGAATTTATGGTGCGTAGCCATTTCTAGCGACCTTTTCTACTTTTGTTTCCACAACCATATCATCACTCTTATACACTCACATCAACTTCCTCACCCCCTTACGTAAATTCACATAAAAGCAACCATAAAGTTTTTTTCTCTCTCACAACACACACACACACACACACCCCTTCACAATACACATCAATCTTCTTCCGTTGCCAGATTCAATTCTCTCTTTCACAGCCACACACAAGCATGTCATCAACCTCTCATCTCTTCCTCCCTTTGTTTCTCCTCCTAGTGTTCTCAACCTTCATATCCCTGTCGGCTTCCGCCACAGATTCTTTCATCTTCGGCGGCTGCTCGCAGCTCAAGTTCATGCCGGGGACGGCATATGAGAGCAACGTAAACTCCCTTCTGACCTCTCTTGTCAACTCAGCCATGTTCTCCAGCTACAACAACTTCACCGTCCAAGGCTCCACCCAGCAGGACACCGTCTACGGCCTCTTCCAGTGCCGCGGCGACCTCGCCAGCGCCGACTGCTCTCGCTGCGTTGCAAGGGCTGTCAGCCAACTTGGCACCCTCTGCCTCGACGCTTGTGGCGGCGCGTTGCAGCTGGACGGCTGCTTCGTTAAGTATGATAACACGACGTTCTTAGGGGTGGAGGACAAGACTGCGGTGCTGAAGAAATGTGGACCGTCGATTGGTTTGACTTCTGATTCGTTGACTCGGAGATATGCTGTGTTGGCTACTTTGGGAGCGTCGGATGGGCCGTTCAGGATTACGAGTTCTGGGGATGTCCAGGGCGTCGCTCAGTGCGTCGGGGATTTGAGTGCCAGCGAGTGTCAGGATTGCCTCTCCGATGCGATCCAACGGCTGAGAATGGAGTGCTCGGGTGGCGCGTGGGGGGAGATGTACTTGGCCAAATGCTACGCGCGATACTCTGGTCGTGGGAATCACTCGCCAGGTGGAAGTGGTAAGTTACAAATTCGCGCTAGAGATTATTCAATTAAATCATACTACTATATTTTTGTTTGGCGAAATAGTATATAAATAAATTTTAAAATATATAAAAAAATTTAATAATTTATTTATAGATGAAATAATTTTAGAATTTTATATTAACTTAGTAGTAAATATAAAATTATTTTGACAAAAATAATCAGTTATTATTCTTTTGTAGGCTGAATTAATTTTAAAATATACAGGATTTAAAAATAAAAGAAGATTTGCATGGTAAAATGTTGGTGCCAGAAATTCAATAAATTTCTTACCTTTTCCGGCCCCCTTTTTCTATTATTAATTGATAAGCCATGGTTATTCTTTCCGGCCAGAAAAGATAGGTGTGACATGAATATTCGTAGCTTATAAAAAAAGTTGTGATGTGAATGCAAAGAGAATAAATGAAAAAAAACAAACAATAATCTGATAACCTCCAGAGAAGTGTATTATTTTTTTTCCCCAACAAAGGTCCCATTGAATTGAAATATTCTAGAAACATTTTCTAATGTCAAAGGACATACACTTTAATTAAATTCCGTTTTGCTAGGTAATCAATCAAACCAAATCCATATATATAAAATATACACATTACACAATAATATTTCGTCAGATAGGCAAAGAAGGTCCCACTTCGAATTGGTGTCCATTAATCAACGAATTGATAAAGAATCCTATGTCTACAAAGAAACAAACCAGGGCCGCAAGAACGTTAATCAATTATATCAACATTATAATTGTTTTCCCCAATCCCTAGAAATTAAAGCACTACATCAAAAGAATGAAAAGAGAGCCACTTGCTAGTGTTTAATTTGGATGTATAGAGAACATATTATCTTATATACATTTCTTGTGAGTCTTCTTCTATCTTTCTTCACTATTACCATTAATTTTTAGAATTATATAAATTTAAATTGGGATGATAAAAAAGTCATTTAGTTATATATGAAATTAAGTTTTTATATATTTATTTATTTCTCCATATGAACGAAATTGAGTGATACATATATCAGATGATAGCAACAGAAATGATGAGGAGATTGAGAAGACACTGGCCATTCTAATAGGACTCATTGCTGGTGTGGCTCTTATCATTATCTTCATTTCCTTCTTCTCCAAAGTCTGTGGCACACAAAAAGGTCCGTTTAATTACTTCTGAAATGCTTAATTTCTTATATATAATTAATTAAATGTTTAATTAATTACTTTGATGTTTAAGCTTAATCATCTTGATTATATATGCAGGTGGTAAATAAAAAGATGGGACCTAGACAGTATTGAAGAGTTTTGAGCTCCAGATTCTTAACTACTATGTCCTTAAGTATCAAGTCTCACCCTTAGCTTTTTGTAATATTTGGTTTTATTTTTGTGGATTTCGAAATCCATATTTTTTTTTTTGAATGTTCAGTGAATTAGTTGTAAAAGTTTAATGCACAGTTCTGTAGCTTTATAAAGAATAACTGTGAAGGCATATAGAGAAAGATATGATGAAGGAAAAAGTAGTGGAAGTGGAAGAAAAAGCAGAAAAAAGAATTAAAGATCAATGATTCCTCTTTCTTCACAGCCACATATGTTATTTGAAGCAATTAAGCTGATGGTCCTGATGTGTACACATATATAGTGACCTATATATACTACTCAGAATATGTATATAGCCTTTCATGGTTATTATTCGATCTTCTTCTATTTTTTCCCCTTTAATGTAATTTTTTAAGTATTAAAAAGTATTCTTCACTTTTCATTCAACTAATAATTAGGATATCTCCTGAAATATTAGAAACATAACTTTTAGAAAGCGATAATACATAGACAGTGACATGAGTTTTCTTTTGTGTGAAGCTTTTTTGAGGTACAAGGGACTCTCTCTCTCTCTAAGTTGCTCTCATGGTGTCTTCTTTTTTGTGGGAATACTATTAAGTTTAACTAGAATTTCGTAATCGAACATATTCTTTTTTTGAGAATTGATTAATTTAAAATTGAACATGTACTAAGTCAAATTATCATTGACTTACGTGAATACCCAAAAAAACCTTTAAAAAACTTCTAATTAGAAATCTTACACCTTGTATGCAGAAAGGAACTTCCAATTACTATGACATATATGATAAAGTAAAAGCCTTTCATCAATTTACAATTAATGTAATGATATTTCACTTGTATAAATAATTGTATTGAGTTATGAAATAATACAAGAAGGCTCTTTCTCTCATGTGTATATTCTCTCTTGTTTATACTTCCATTGCTCTTTTAAGTTACTTTATTTTACAACAGATTTAATTTGTATAATTAGAGACAGAACCACACAAGAGAATATGATTATACATGAATCCCTAACATCATATAATTATAATATTTCACTTTTTATATTTTATTTTTTCTCCTAAATACTCCCTTTACAATCAATTTTAAGATGAACTAAATAATGGGAAGTGATAAGGAAAGGATGGTTCGTTCCTAAACTTTCCACCAAATGATTTGACCAACATGACATGCATCCGTCTAACTTTTGATGTTAAATAGAAAGGTATAAGGGTTTTTGTTGGTTGAAGAAAAGGCAGAATTTATGAAGAAAAGGCAGAATTTATGTCAAATCACATAAGTTTGCAATGATTAATGAACTAATTATTTTAAAAACATTCTCCCCCAAACCCTTTCCTCTTTCAATCCAATCTGTTCAAAGAGCACTTCACAGTTGATCACAGAATGATTTTGCTCACGGTATCAATAAAAATTTATTTTATTATAAGAAAAGTTTAAATTAAGGAACAAAAAAATTATAGGACTTCCAAAGAAAACTAAGAGCTTTAACTTATTCTTAATATAAGAGTTTGTTTGATTTTCAATTTGGTCCTAAATATAAAATTCCAATCCACTTTGTATTTCATATTTATTCATTTTTTCTAAAGTAGTCCTTGTAGTAGTTGCACTTATTAAATGCTTCATCAAATGACACTGATTAGTAAGAGTATTTTAGGAAAGACAAAATTTATTTATTACAAATAATTAATTTAACTAATTTTCTTAATCTACTCAAATTAGTTAATAGCTCTCATATCAAATACCAAAGATAGTAATGAAAACGGTTTGCTCAAGCAACTGATACCAGTTTTCGGTTAAAAGCAGATGAAATGTATTAAAGGCTTTCCCCAACTTTTTTTTTTTTTTTCCATAACTACGTATAAATGTATCACAGTTTGATCACTCAAGTTGAACCTATAGTTATTGTAATAAATTTGTCTACATATCAATCTCAAATAAATTATTAGAAATTCCGAAATGATCATTATCAGGAAAGAATGAACTTGACAATGAAAAAACTACCAGAACCCACTGCAAAATCGTGAATTGTATAATGATAATTATTACCCAATGAATGAACAAATAGTGTATTGGTTTCATGTGATCTCACGCCTTTTTAGAAAAGTTTAAAAGGTGCTAAGCGAGAACGGCCAACACTTGGGTCTGTGATTGTTTTTGCAATATGGCTCTATTAGAAAAAGCAAAGATTCTATTAGATTAGTAGCTATCTTCTTTATATTATGGCTTATGTGTAAAGATTGATGTGGGTGGAAAATATATATAAGCATCGAGTGAGGAAAGTTGTTCCTATCTTTAACTTCTAAACTAGATGTTGGCCGCACAAAGGAGGAAAAAGAAAAGTCCTACATAGTGAATTCAAAAGTGGATGAGTCTGGAGGAAAAGTTGAAGGAGGAAAAAAAATAGAGTAAAGCATATAATTTTATTTTTTGAATCATTAGATGATTTGTGTTTCGAAGACTCCCTCAGATTAGGACATAAGTATTTACAGAAGTAGTTACTAATTACCTTCCAACAAGTTCTTGTTAAATTGATTAAAACTTTTGGCCTTGTGAGATATAAGTAAATTTTTCACTACCTTTACTAACTTTTGTTCCTTTTTTTTTTTTTTTTAACTTGCTACGCATAGGCATTTTTTTATTAGAAGTGATTCTATTTGATGTACGATTGGGCATTAAGGGGGTATTTGGGTGAAAACAGAATCATGATTTTAAAAATAATTTTACGGTATACGAAATAAATATGTAAAGAAATTTACCTCGATTTGTAAAAAAATGCTTTTGAAAAGCACTTTTATATCTTCCGAAACACCCCCTAAATGTGAGATTTGAACTTTGATTCACTATGTTGTGAGATACTAGCCCTTTCTGCTAAATCTAACCCTGTTTTGTTCTTTTATTAATACTTAGAAGCGATGATGTTCAAATCACCGTCAGGTCGATTTGTAAAAAAATGCCTTTGAAAAGCACTTTTATATCATCCGAAACACCCCCTAAATGTGAGATTTGAACTTTGATTCACTATGTTGTGAGACATTAGCCCTTTCTGCTAAATCTAACCCTGTTTTGTTCTTTTGTTAATACTTAGAAGCGATTATGTTCAAATCACCGTCAGGTATTAAATGTGATTATTTTTTTCAATGAGAATTTGAACCTTAATTACTCATTGTAAAAGACTCGTCTTTTTTTTTTTTTGGGTAATAGAAAGGCAAGCTTCAGCTTGTGCGGATAGAATGAAAAATCTCAAAACATAAACTAGTTGTCTGATGGATTTTGGATCAGGTTCACCTCCATAGTTGTCTGATGAGCGTTTAAGCGATCCGCACGCAAAAGTGCCTTCCTGTGAGAGTGATTGATTTCCAGATCCCAATTTGAATAAATGATGGACCTTGTCTCGTAGATTTCTTCTCTTAGTGGATGTGAAGATCCACCTCCTTCTTGCAGTAATTGCAACGCATCTCGCAAATCAGAGAAAAGTTTGACCTGTGACAGCTTCATCATTTTGCAAAGCTTCAGACCTGAACAGATGGCCAACAGCTCCGTTGTAGTCGAACCCACAAAGCCCAAATTCTGTTGGAAGCCCATCAGCCAATTTCCATGTTCATCTCTTATCACCCCACCGCATGCAGCATGTCCTTGGTCCGAAACTGAACCATCCACACCTATTCTTAAGAGACTCGTCCTTTTATACCATGGTCAACCCTCCCGGTAACAATACGATTGGGAACATTTGTTTTTTGGGGAACTGATCTTTTCAGATTTCAAGCCCAAGTGGTTTTTTAATATAAGGTGCCCTGTATACATACATTCATGGCCCAATGAACCCAGCCCATAATAAATCATAATGGGCTGCTCTCGGGCTTAATGCAAGAAAAACAACGAACGGACTGGACTACTAATGTGGCCCATAGACATGTCCCGAAGAAATATTCGGTTGCTTATTCAAATAATTCTACACCGTAAGATCTTATGGACGACTGGGATAGATTATTTTATAAAGTAGAATTTCCCAGAAATGAAGAGAATTCTGGTCCAAGAACCCTTCCCCGTCAATCCGAGGGATTACTTCCGGAAATTCAACCTCTGTAGATTCGCATCGGAAGAGAGAGCTCATCAATGGCGCTTGAATGGGTTGTGCTAGGGTACGCAGCGGGTGCGGAGGCTATTATGGTGCTCCTCCTCACGATCCCTGGCCTCGACGGCCTCCGCAAGGGCCTCATCGCTGTGACTCGTAATCTTCTCAAACCTTTCCTCTCTGTCGTTCCCTTTTGCCTTTTCTTGCTCATGGACATATACTGGAAGTACGAGACTCGTCCCTCCTGTGAGGCCGACACTTGTTCCCCTTCCGAGCATCTTCGGCATCAGAAGTCCATCATGAAGAGCCAGCGCAATGCTCTCCTTATTGCTGCTGCCTTGATGTTCTACTGGCTTCTCTACTCCGTTACCAATCTCGTTGTTAAGATCGAGCAGTTGAATCAGCGGATCGAGCGTTTGAAGAATCGGGACTGACTCAGATGTTCGATTGGCTGAGTGGTTAAGATAAGTATCTTACTTTTGTGTTGGCGTGATTTAAATTTTCAGTGTTGTATTAGGAACCTCTTTTCCATTATGGTTTTGTACCACTTATTCTGAGATTGAAGAGGAAATAAAAAAAGATTAGAGACTTCCGGTTGTTTTGTTTGATCTGAATAGTCTGTGGAAAGGGGATTTTTCTCATTATATTGAATATGCTATTTAACATGTGTGTACACTTTTCTTCACTCTTGTTTCTGAAATTATTTATAGTGTTGGATCTCATAACCTCTATAAAAGGAAAGTGATGGTGTGAGTAGTGCATCTGATCAATGGCCCAACACTAATTGTCTGATTCTCTATTTTGTTTAAACCCTAGAGGCGATGGTGCATGTTTATTTTATGTAGCAACTAGGCTTTGAAGTTACCAGACTTGCTGCCCTGTTTCCGGGCTTTGCCTTCCATGTCCATGTGATACAATCAACAAGGAACGAAGAACATTTCTTTATTTTCCAAAACTTGGTTTGTTTGGATGGGTGACAATGGCTGAACTAAAGGGATAATTTCTCCTTGTTTGTAATTGTTGAAAAATGAAGGAGGATAATGGAAAAGTAGCGCAAGTCTTTCCCAATAAATATTTAAAAGTGTCTATCTAACTATTTAGATTGGAGATTAATTGAAAAGGAATTGACAATTATTAGTGTTACTTTGTTAGTTGCAAAATGAATGCGGGTGGGATTTTTGTGTGTGTTTTCTTTGCGCATTCAGATCATTTCTAGTCCTAACTATAGTTGTCACATTGTGATGTGCGTACGAAACTAAAATTCGAAGACTTGCTTCTGAATTGTGAATCATATGGATTTGCAAAACTCAATGATAATCAAATATAGTTTAAAATATACTACCTCTGGTCCTTAATATAAAAGCTCATTTGACTTTTATTTTGATCCTAAATATAAGATCTCAATCTACTTTGTTTCTTATATTTATCCTTTTTTTTTTCTAAGGTAGTCCTTGTAATAGTGATAGTTTTAGCCAATACATTTATTAGCAAGGATATTTTAGGAAAGACAATATCTATTTGTTACAAATAACTAACTAAACTAGTTTTCTTAATCTACTCAAATTAGTGAACTAGCTCTTATATTAAGGACCGGAGGTAGTATGATTTAAAATATTATCACTACAATATAAACAAAAGACTCCCCAAAAAAATGGATAAGTAAAATATAGTAGAGGTACATTTCGATTATACATAGTACTTAATTGAAGACTCATTTGAATTTCAAATATAACTAAATTCTGTATACTTCTGAATCTTGTAGTGAAATTGTTAATGTGTATGTTCATGCAAAGCCAAGCGATTGATGCAGCCATTTTATGAGAGAGAAGGAGGAAATACTAACAGAGTTGGAAAAAGGCACATAAAATCTGTTGGCTGTCATCAGTGACTAACAAAAGAATTAGTATAGCCCAAAGTAGTTCGTGTTTAACAGTGACGGTTTGGTTGAATGTAAGGGGTTCAATATCTCTCAGGTAAGGTCACTAACTCGAATATTGTGGATGGGAAAAACCACACTAAAAGAGCTGCCTTTATTTGGATCCAACAATACTCAAATTTGGTTAGTCAGTAGTACTAGGTATTAGGTAGTTGTATTGAAGGAAAAAATAGTTTATACTGGGTATTAGGTAGTTGTATTGAAGGAAAATATAGTTTATGTTCTAGATTTTAGGATTGGAATGTCTCATCATCAAATACTGCTGATGATCTTCAAGTCTTTCTTTCGATCGGGCATTCTTGGGACTCAGGAGTGCGGTTTAGTTATGATTTTGAGGATTGTGTGGTGTAGTTCTCCGGCAGATGATGTAGCTGTGCATATGCCGTACTTCAATGTCTTCAAAGTCTTGCTGAAATTTCCTTCAACAATTGAAGATGAGAATGGATTGTCTTGGATTTTGAGCTGGACAAGGTTTGATAGGTTTTGTTTTCCTCATTGATTCTAATTCATTGCATTGTCTTATTACTAGGCTTGAATTAAACTTGGTGCCTAGTTCCTTTCATTCGGTTTCCTTCTGTGCACTATTCCTTTAAATTATCTCGCTATTTGGTATGAGGAAAAGTATCTTCAAGAAAGGAAATGGAAAGTGCACTTAGAAAGGAAATGGGACAGGTGCATTCCCCATTTCCTTGCTAGACTTTTTACGTACCCAAACATTGCATTACTAAATCATATTGTCCTGCTGAGCCATATTTTATTGCCAATACAAAGAGATCCCTCACTAAAGACCCTCTTGGTTACCTGAGGATTATATGTCATGCTCAGAGAGACTCAGGAGGCTTTTTCAGGTTTGATGGCTTATCTTGTTCGTGAAGACAACGCGATTCACCCCAAGGGTGGGAGTTCAGTAGCCAGGAGGAAGCAAGATTCTCTATGCCATTATTTGACTGTGTTAGCCATCCACGGAATTAATTGATCCATCTACCGGGCAGAGATGCTAGAAATAAAGTTCAAATCAGAACACGTATGCTCCGTTTGGATGAGAATAGAAGTTGAGAGGAAAGAAAATAGAGACAAAAGAAAATTGGAGAGAAAATATTATCACTTATTTTGTTTTGATAGAAGGAAAAAATAGGAAGAAAAGAAAATGAGTAAATATATAAATGATTAAAATGTATTTATGTTTATGTCAAAACATATTATATTCAAAATCAAATTAAATATTTAAAATATATTATCATATTATTATGTTTAAAAATCTAATAGTTTAGTAAAGATGTTATTTTTAATAGAAAAATAAAAAGATGGATAATTTTTTAAAATTAAATATAATAAAAGAATATAAATAATAAAAATTTATTATAAAAGTTGAAAGAGATGGAGAAATATATGTGTGCATAGTTAGTACAAATTCCCTGTATTGCAAGTTTATATGTTGGTTTAGAAATTGTCACTGTCCATGAGATTATTTTGTTAAATTATAAAGTAGCCATAAATTAGATTAATAAAAATTGCATCAAAGGCTAAATATGTGTTTATTCACGTGGTAGGGGGAGGGTATATGAGAAATGTGAATTTTCTTCTGATTTCCTCCCCCGTTTTTTCTCCTCATTTAAACAGGAAAAAAAAAACATTTCTCTCCTTATTTTCTTTTTAGTTTTTCCCCTCTCATTTTCTCTTCACCCAAGCAAGGGAATAGAAAAGGGAGCGGTTGAAAGTTGAGAATGGAGAGCCGACAGGGGAGAAGGTGGGGGTTTCATTTCAAAAAGGAAAAAAAACGTTGCGGATTAGGGCGGCGGAGCGCAGATTTCATTTTTTGAGGGAGTGTTATATTGAGGTTATCACAAATTGGATTTCCTTTGTCTATTTGTGTTATACGAACTTGCTTTTAAATTATATTATATTAGTTCTTAATATAAAAATTAGATAATTAATTTGGAGATATTTTGGAGTCTGATTGGTATGAGAAAAATGAAAGAAAGGAGAAGATAAAGAAAAATTTTAATAAGCTCGATTTTAAAAAAATTAGAAAAATGAGATTAAAAACTTTAAGTTAATTTTGCTTGCTCTTTTATCTTATATATTCTTTTTATCAAAATTTTATAACCTTATTTTTCTAATTTTTTAAATTGAGCTCGTTAAAATTTTTCTTTCCCTCTAATTTTCTCATACCAAACATAGGATAAGAAAATTAGATAGATTAGTTATTGATAACAAATGTGAATTGACTTTTGTCAATTACCTTACGCAATTATATATATATTTGAATTATTTCTTAATGTAGATCCCTATATTTTAGAGAAAACATTATAAATTTGATAAATAAATTAGATTGAGGTTTTATATTTAGAATAAAATCTAATGTTTAACTAGCTCTTATATTTAAAATTAAGACCAAAGGCAGTAATTTTTTTACAACTCAATGTTACAATTTTTTTTTTTAAAGAGATGGAGCACTTGATATATCTATTAGGAAATAAATGCTTAAAGTTTGAACTCATTCTAGTTCCATAATTAGAACCTCAATTTATATTTCCAATTGAGTTTCTCACTTTATCTAATCATAAATATCGGGGGTGGCTCAAAACAAAATAGGAGAATCCCAAATAAATCCAGTTGAAATGCTAAAATTCTACATAAGGTTTTCACTTTATATAAATCCCTAACCAGGCGAAGAGACCTAATTAGTGATTTATAAATGTTGTTAAAAGTCCAAAATACCCTTCTATAATTAAAGTGAGTTGTTACTTTTATGTTTTTCCTTTTCCTAAAATATAAAATAATAAATCCATAGTAGATGATATGAAATTATAACACCATCCTCAATTCATATTAATAATTATTTCAGCACCCTAATCAATTTGTGAAAAGTTCTGGTCCAAATAAGGGGTTAAATGGTCGATATATTTTTCTTTGGTCTGTAATGGCTTTTCAAATCCTTTTCTATTTATTCATGACCGCACGCCTTTTTTCTTTGACTATTTCAAAACAAAATGATTATGCATTATGATCTGCCTTCGCTGCTATTTTACATTTTAACCAGCTTTTCAAGTGTATATGTGTGCGTATATTATTCAATATACGGAGGATGGATCAACAATTTCAACCAATCTAAAATTAAAATCTGACAGTGGCCTATACTGTTAGATTAATTAGATTGATGGAGTGATTATTAATATGGATTAATGATTGTGTGTGATTTTCATTCATTTACTAAAGATTTACTATTTTTATATTTCAGGAAAAAAATTTGTGAGGCAGAAAAAGAATTTATGAGAGAAAAAAATATATAAGTAACCAAAAGAAAGAAAAAAAGTCCTTAAAAATCCCTTAAAAAAATGTACAGGTAACAACTCATATTTTTATTATAGAGATGCATTCTAGACTTTCAATAACATTCATAAATCTTTAATTAGGCCTCTTAATTAGAAATCTGTTCAAAACATAAGCCTAATTTTAAATTTTGATATTTTAATTAAATTTATTTGGGATTTTTCCAAACAAAATAAAAAATATTTAAGAAAACTTATGGGGCTTTATCAGAATAGCCTAGCTAGGCTCCAGGATCTTAGGGCTCTTTGTTTCGGTTTCTTATTTTCTTGTTCCTAAAACAATTATATAAAATTATTTTTAAAACAAATTTGGAGAATAAAAAGCAAAAAAAATATGTTTGAATAATTATTTTAAAAAATCATATTTAAAACAAAGAATATAAAAATCATATAGGCAAGAAAGGAAAAAGGTTTCTC